TTTCCTAACAAACATTGCTGACAGGTTGGAAATTCTATATTATTTAGATTTGGATTGAGACCTCTTTATTTTATCCTTCCTATATAGTCTAGCCTAAGTTTCCAAGTGTATGCATCAACAACGATTGCACAATTGAGACAATTAGAATCAGAGGAAACTTTATTATCAACATTCATGGATAAGGAGCATATAGTGTTCCTCAATCAAGTGTCCTCAAGTATAAATTTGTCCACGTTTTCCAATTGACACCTTTATTGATCAGAAGTGAACTTCAACACTTTTTCACTTTTCGAATAAGCAAAGGGACAAATATAATATTTCGATCCAATATTTCGCCTCGTACCGAGGACAAAATATGCATCAATTAGTACAATATTGATTGTCCCTACATACAATCTACATGTCCCTATACTTAAAACATCAGTGTGGGTGTTGTTTCCCATGCATATGCACTTCTTCCTAGCTTTAATTTATTTGAAATCTGCTAAAAGGTTCTTGGAGCTTGCAATATGATGGTTTGCTCCCAAATCTACCCACCATCCTTTGATGTCATAGTCTGCAAGCAAACACTCTTAAGGCTATACAAATGACTTCATGCCTTGTGCTCCCATTTTTGCTATATTTTGAATTGTACATGTTGCTTTTTTGTGGGCATTGATTTTTTAAGTGACTTGACTGGCCATATGTGAGGCATTTTGGTGGTCCTTGTTTAGTCTATTGGTTGTTTGGCTCGGTTCCTTTATTTATGTACCTATTGTTCATCTTCTTAAAGTTTCATTGAATTTTTTGATTATTAGGCTTTGGCTAGGTTTAGGAGGACCGTGAGCAAGCATGAGCTCACTTTTTTTTTTTATCTTTGTTCACATATTCTTGTTCTAAGGTCAATTGCATGGGTATGCCCCTTAAATGAAGGGATTTTGCGTTTAACTTAGCGCTATGGTTGTCTTCCTCCATGAAGGTGGAAGACTATTTAAAATGGTGAAAACTTGGATATGCTCGGGAATTTTATTTTTGACAGAGGTTAGGTCCTTAGCCAAAATGAACATTTTATGTACATGGTCCACCACATTGTCACCATCCTTCATTTTAAAGGAGTTGTATTGCTATAGGAGCAGTTGGAGGTGAGTCTCTGCTGTCGTGTCATATTTTGTAATTATGACCTCTAGCATTTTCTTAGATGTCTGATAATATCCAAATACCCTAATAAGATGATCTTGCATAAAATGTTAGCATCAAGGTCTTAGCTATGAGGTCATCTTCTAGGAATCTTTCTAATTTTTCTTTAGTGGGTTTATCACCGATGACTGGTGGGTCATCCTTTAGCACATTGAAATTCTTGTCTTGGATGAGGAGATCTTCCATCTTCCTCTTCCACATGCAGAAGTTGGTCCCATTTAATTTTTCTATTTTTGAGAGTTCTGCCATCAGTTTTTATAGGACTTGCTGAGTTATATATGAGCAACCTAAGTAGTTTCTAAGTTCTAAACGAATTAAAATTGTTAAAGAAACTAACTAAAAGCCACCAAAATTATTCAATGTGGTCAATACCTGTTATAAAGAGAGAGCCACAAGATGTAATTGCTTCGGAATAAATTCCAACTAACCTTACAAAAGTAAAAAATGATAGTTTGTTGTTTCCCCCAAATTTCTCTAAAAGTTCTCTATATCATGTCATTGCTTCTATTAATAACTGGCTAATGCTCTTGGTCTCAAGATAATGGATATCAATATAGCAATAAAAAATATTTGGAGTCCATGCTTGTACCACTACTATGCGACATACATAACTCCAAATGGTTTCACAACCTTATTTATAGAAAGAGAACCAAGATACTCAGTAATGGAGCTCATATTTCTAAATAGAGAGAGCGAGAAACTGAGAGGAAATAATGAATGTCTTTATTGAAGTAGGCAGTAATGGAGGTCTTTATTCCAGAGAGAGATCAGCAACGAAGGTCTCGATCAAAGAAGCATGAAACTGAATAGAAGACTTATCAATGCCAAGACCCACGGTGGAGGGAGGATGGGAGAGAGAAACTTGGTATAGGGGCAACAACTAAGTGCAAGTTTTATTTAGAGGGCGACACATAAATCAAGAGTCCATTATGAAAAAAATAATTTGGAATATTTAAAGAAATTGTTTTGTTGGGTGTTTCTGTGTACTTGAAAAGTATAAATGATAAGGAAGTTTAAGATAACTTTTTACCAAGTTTCAAAAAAAGATAACTTTTACCCCTTAAGGGGGAGAAATAACAGAGTGAGACTCACTGTGTCTTCCTAAAGGATGCTTCAAACAACCAAATTGAAGCAAAAGGCAAAATAATGAGAAGCCAATGGAAGAGCAAACATGATAATATCCATATAGAACAGCCCTATAATTAGAAGATGAAAGAGGAATTCAACAAAAATACCTTTGGCTCTGATGCTAGTGAAAGCAAATATATCATATGCGAGGATGAGTGCTAAAGCCCTAGATCGGAGAGGGAATGGCGTGAGGCTGGTGATCATAGAGCCGGATTTTATAGGTACCTTTTTAGAGAGAGAAGGAAGCTGTCAGGGAGTTCTTAAAGCTCTGTGTAGATCCTTCTATCTAGCCGCCCTTATATAAAAAAGAATGGAAACATTCCTTCTCAATGGGTCTTTGAGAAACTAACCCCTAGATATCAGCGATGTACTTATCCTCATATGATCGTTCGAAATCGTTTATAAAATGATTGTTTATATATATTGTATTTAGGAAAAGCCAAAAAGTCTTTTTACAAAGGATAAGCATAAAGTATTTCCATCGGATTCTTCACATGAAACTATGTATGGCAGTTTGACAACATGAAGCAACTTCTAGAAAAAGAGGAGCAAAATTCCAAGGCATCTATAAGTACAAGATGGAAGAATAGTCACGGAAAAAGGAGTTCAGGACACGAAGAAAAGATATAGAAAAACTGGTTTTTGGAAATGGTTTGTATCTTCTTTTGAAAAAAATTGAAACAGATTTGAGAAGAATGGTATAGAAAGGGCCGATAACTTTTCTTATCACAAAAGGTCTATTCAAGATGGTAAGCACAATGAAGGGAAAGCCTTATGTCTACATTGATAGTTTGTGTTTTTCTAGACTTGCCAGTTGACTTATATTGTAATGCAAACTAGTTGTCTAGTGGGAAATACATTAGATAACCATCCTTTGAAAATCACGTGTAGCCTAGTTATTTTAAGGATCAAGGTGAGTTGATTATAATGTGCAGTGTTTGAAAATTCGCTCGAGTCCACTCGAACTGTGACAAGGGTCACGAGGCGCTCAGCCTCGACAGATTGCAGAGCCTAGAACAGCATATGCTTGGGTACCTTGCCCATTATTCAGGTGATTACTGTGCAGACTTCCCTTAGTTGCATAGTGCCTACTTGAGTCTACATAACAGTCATTGAAATGATGCTGATCCAAATCGGTAATTTCTGATCTGGCTCAGGAGTTGTTTAAAGTCAAGACCATGTTGATTCTTGGACAGAATGGGCAGTTCGGTCTACATGTAAAGTATGATTTCCTATACAATCTAAACGGGATAGCTTAGGTGGCTATAGCGTGCGGGTATTAGGCAAAAGGTGGGAGGTTGGAACCTTCGTTGCACACGCACATTTGCTATACATCAAAACTAAATGGTTTATGTGGTTATAGCGCACTACTATTAGCTGAAAGTTAGGAGTTTGAAACGTCTTAATTCACCCTCATTTTTTCTTTAATGTCCATCAAAACATATGTACTATATATTTTTTTGAATGTTTTAACAAAGAGGGAGGATTTAAACCTCAACATTGGGCTTAACAACCTTAAGTCTAGGCTAGCCGATGGGGCTGTTCAAATATCTGATATGCTTTATATATCTTGTATACTCTACATGCATTTTTTTTTTACTTGGCTAGATTACCTGGTCTGGCTGACTCGGACTCGGTGGATTCTGGGCCACCCTACTGATCTGTTTTTAAAGCACTGCTGCACATTATTCACCCGTGTTCAGTTCGCATACATATAAAATAGGTGGTGGGCAACCGCAATCCAACCCCGTTTTCTCCATTTGTTCTTTGTTTCTGAGCCCTAGAGTCCCCCATTTTCTCCTAACTTTCGAACCTTAGCTAGATGTTTTGATTGATATATGCATTGGAAACATTGGATTTGGGAGAAAAAAAATGGCTTTTTATTTTTTTGAAAAGATCTAAGGTTTCAGCCAAAGGTTTGCCCAAGTTTAAAAATTTAATGATTCTTAGCAAAATTGGGTTGATCTTTGATGAGCTTTGAATTCCAATCCTGTTTTTAGGTTCTTGATCTAACCTTAAGCTTTTTTAGTTCTAAAACAAAAGAAAAATCTTAGATTTTGATGGGTTTAAAATTGAGATTTACTATTCATCTAAATTTCAAGAGCTCGGATCTCCTAGATCTGAACTGGATACCCAAATCTGGGGTTTCGATTTGTTTGTTTGGGGAAGCTTTGATGAGAATTGGAGGCATCAATTCGAACTGCGTGCAAAGATTTGGGGATCAGCCTCAAAATTTTGTTCGTAAATTCAATTGAGTAATACTAGTAAAAGATTTGAGTTTGTTACATGAACTCTTTTGCGGTTATACTTTCATGTTACAGATCTTTACAGTGTATGATTCTCATGGAAAAAAGATAATTTTGCTGCTATAGTAATTAAAGGATATGGTTGCATTGGGTTGCTTATATTTGCTTAAAATTTTGGCTCCGGTAAAGCATTTATGTTGATTGTATTCTTTGTTCAACTTTATTGAAATCCTTTGCAAATATGTGTCTTTGCATCTGTCTTTTATTTTTATTTTTTGTGCTTATGAATACTAACAATTCTTATTTTGAGATATAATATCAGCTGCATTTGATTTTTCTGCTCGGATCTTGGAACTTTTATAACCAGATGTGCTTCAAGTTCTGTATCTCTAATAGACCATTGTTTGCCATAGGCCCATCTGAATTAGTGAACTGTTTTTGTGCCTTCAGGGTCCATCTCCACGTCTATCTGGTCCTATGCAGCCACCAAGGATGTATGGAATGCCGCCTTCTTTACCCAATCAACATCTCCACGGAATGCAACCTGGGATGGGTCATCCTCCTGGTACTGGAGTTTTGGGTATGGCAAGGTCAGGTTCTCCTGTTGCCGGAGCCCCAGGTGCTGGGGCATCGAAGATTGATCCAAACCAAATCCCCCGCCCTATTCCAAGTTCTTCATCAATTTTGTTTGAATCCCATCCTAATAGTCAAGCCAATCTCCCACCGGTATGCTATTAACTATCTCTGCTTAATTTATATACATTATATTTGATCTGGGCTTATACCTGTCTCTACTCTGCAATCTGCATTGCTATGGGTTTCCATGTTTAATAAATATCTCTCATTTTTCATACTCTACCGTAATGCATAAAACTTTTCATGCAATAACCAAGTCTGTTTTAATATTTAGAGATCCGACTGAGAATTGATGACTTTTTTCTTTCTAAAGTCTGCTGCAAGTAATTATATTGTGAAGGACTATGGAAATTGCAGTCCACGCTACATAAGAAGTACTATTTATCAGGTAATTTATTGGTGCTTGTTGAATTCTGAGGAGTTAAGAGTTAATTAATCAATCTTATTCAATCTTTATCCTGTGTTTTATGTAGCTGTTCTGCACCAGAGGTGTTGCCAATACCTGGATAGTTTTTTTCATTACCAAAATAATGTTCTCTTATCTACATTTTTTTCATAGATTCCATGCACTGGTGATCTTTTGACGACATCAAGCATGCCATTGGCTTTGATGATTCAACCATTGGCTCTTCCACACCCCTCTGAGGAGCCTATCCAAGTAATGCTTTCCCTTTTGTTTGTTTCTCCATTCATGACATGTAACACACTTGCTGATGCTTGTTTCTTCCTGGTGATTTTTATTACTGAGAATTGATCAACACTCATCAGAATTGTCAGAAAAGCTGAAATAGTATAAATACTTCCCAAATGCTATCTCACTGAACTGTTTTAGTCATTATTATTGGAAGTTTGGGTCCTAAACATTCATTTTGGTTTTAATGCATGGTGCCATCGATATTTGCTAGGGCTTTCTTGCTGCCTGGTATACATATGTAATCAGTTGCTCACCATGCTTTTAACTATTGTTTGAGTCTTGAGGACTGTTTTTAGAGTTCTTATAACTTTTTACGCTTGTAATAAATAAATTAATTACTACAAGAGTTATTCTTCTTATACTTCTTCTTCTTCAAAAAAACATAAAATGCTTTACGACAATAAAAAAATGCTTTACGGATGAAATGGTGACCAGCCACTGATGATCCGTCGGTTGAGGTCCTATCGTGCTAATAATTTTTCATGTTATGAATTTCCTGTGTGCGCAAAAGTCCTCTTGATTTAGAACTTAATTTGATTGAGAGAATTTGACTGAGTGCTCCTTTTCGCTTTTATTCGTTGTTATTTGAATATTTTTGGGGAATGAATATATCATACTAAAGTAAGTAGTTGTCCCTAAAGAACCCATACCGCCACCTCAATCTCATTTTCTAAATTTACCTATCATCAAGTGGTTTTAAATCAAAGGCTTTTGACTCTGTTTATGCCATGACAGATGAAAACAAGTTAGTCCAACTTTTACTTCAGCGGTTTGCTACTTTGCAGCCTTCATGCTTCCCATTTGTCCCCTATCGTATTGTCTATTAATGGCTTTAGATGCTACATACTGGCTGCCTTGTAGGTGGGCAGCAATGTAAATGCATTATTAAATAAACCGTTTACTTTAAATTATGAAGCAAATAGTACATGAAGATTATTCGACAAGATGATAAATAAGAAATTACTATAAAAAATTGTCATTGTTTTACAATGTTGTGCCATGGCTTATAGCAAGCCAGCATATGACTCGAGTTAGATATTCACCAATAAGTGGTTATATGGGCTGTTTCTCTTATATTATATTGTTTTTTTCATTATCTCTACTCAAGGTTGTGGATTTTGGAGAAAGTGGACCTGTACGATGCTCTCGTTGCAAAGGGTATATAAATCCATTCATGAAGTTCATTGATCAGGGAAGGCGCTTCATCTGTAATTTATGTGGTATGTGGACTCTTTCATTCTTTCTTTCTGTCTCTCTCTCTCTCTCATTTTTTTTTCCTTCTCCCTTGTCGTAAGTAACAAGAGGTGGTCCACTTGGGTGACCGATAGAACTTTATAATGTCCAGAATGTAATAATGAGTAATTACCAACATTAACTTCTGTGTGTGGGCACTGGAGTGTTCGGATGTAGTGGACCTAGTGGTCATGACCCCCTTAAGGTTAACCAGTGAGTGAATTTTAATGCTGAAGTAGACATTACGTTTAAACATGAAAATATTCCTATTAATGAAAGGGAAAAGAACAGTAGTTTGGCATGGATTCTTATCATTTTCATGCGCTACGTTCAGTTTAAACAATGCTAGTGGTTTCCACATTGCTCATACCTTCAGCAACAATGACTTACTGCAAGGCTTTGTGGGCTTCAGCTCTCTCAAGATGCAAGTGCATGCTGTTTAATTGACTGGATGCTTTCTTGTTTCTGTGCACCCCAATTCCTAAGTGCTCACCTTCATGTATTTTCTCACAAGTCCCTTGACATAATCTATGATCACTATCTTCATGGTACAGATAGACAAGCTGCCGAAAATGAAATGGGTCCACGTAATGATCTGTGGTATTATGAGTGACAAAATCAAAACCTGGGATTTGGGAAACTTCCAACTAAATAGACTTGTGATTTCAGCGAGTCGTACTTATTTATTTGTATAATTTTGTCTTCTAGAAAAATTAAGAAATATCAAAAAATACAGAAGGGAATAATAGATACAAGTTGCATATGAGTCCTGGCCCCTATACCCTCTTTTTTTTCCTGGGCTTCTATACTTGTTTCTACTTCCTGTCAGTTCCGTGGTATATATCATATTTTCGTTTTTATGCAGGGTTCACCGATGAAACTCCTCGTGACTACATATGCAATCTAGGGCCAGATGGAAGACGTCGAGATGCTGATGAAAGGCCAGAGCTATGCAGAGGAACTGTTGAATTTGTTGCAACCAAGGAGTACACGGTTAGTTTCCTATAATATATTTGCCGACACTAAAGTATGCTTGCGAAATATTTTTCAAGATGGCTTACAAAGCTAGAATTGTAAGGTCGAATTTGAAGTTAAGAAATATTTCGGTTATGTTGGGCTCATGTTTGATATGCTAATTTTTTGTGTTGCATCCCATTTGGTTTTATATTTTCGATGCGAAGCATCATATGCGATGCTTGTTTTGCTACTGCAACACTTGATATTAATTGTCTTCTATATGTTTGTAGAATTCTAGGTCCACTGAGCCTTCACTATGGGAATTTTGTTCCTATCCATCTAATTGCTGTACCAGTTCTCGGATACCTGAACCTTCACCCGTAGTTTTGAAGCCTGAGCATCATGTTGTTCCTGGCAGATCTTGGTTTTGGTCTTTGGAGAACCTTCTTTAGTATCAGCCATATCTTTGTTTCGTTTTTCGCATGTATCTTCACATTCATGAGTACATTGGTATAGAATTTCACACACCCATATATGTATTTTGATTTGGTCCTCACATGAACATTTCATTCTTCTTTTCAATACTTGATTGTAGGGCTGTTAATGGTCCCAGTCTGGGCCACAGGCTTTCGGTCTGGGCTCAATTTTGGCCGGGTTCAGGATGCATGTTAAGGCCTGTGGGTCAGGAATGATAAGTTCGAAATATTTTGTCCAGGCTTGGCCCCTGCTAAAAAGTTTTTGAAGTACATATTACACATGAAAAAGATTTTTTCCTTATATTTTATAAGGTCCGATTTTTTTCTATCTCGGGCTGGGTTTGGGCCTCATCATCATGAATCCGGGCAGTGCTGGCCAGGGCCCAGAACTGATTTTTAAGACCCGGGCTGGGCCGGGCCTATGGTGCATTGTCTCAGGCCGGCTAGGGCCTGGGCTAGCCCATCCTGAAGTCCACCCGTTAACAGCCCTACTTGATTGAAATCTAGCTTGCTTATCACCGAAATGTATCGTGTCCCTTCTTACCTATGTGTTCCCTCAGTTACTTAGGTCTGGCAATTATCCCAATTCCCTTGAAATAAAAGGACAGAGTTCTTCTGTCTCTGCCTTCTAATGAGATTGTACCTCTCCCTTCAACTTCCAGTTATCTAAAGGATTTCCTCTTGTTTAACTTAAGGGCATTCTAAGTAAGAAGAACTTCATCTTCAGCACATCATTAGCATTAATGGCTAGAAAAAAGTAGTAAACGAACCTGTATCTTTCCTCATCGCAAAACACTCCCCTGGCACCTGCTTTGTGAATTCACCTAACTGAATGTCCCCACACGGGTTCAGGTTAATCGCCTACCTCCTCCATTACCTGATTCTTTCGTGAGCCATGTTGCTTGTCTAGTTACTCTTTTAATGCCTTTATCGCTTGTCACAAGGGCTTATTTGATTTGGAATTTTTGTTTGAATGGAATACCTTTTCTTCAAGTATCGATGTCTATGGCATTATGAATAAATTTTGATGGATGATACCAGTTCATTTCCTGTTATTAAGATTAGGTATAACATCTCTCCAATACTAATTTTTCTTCTATTCTATTTTGAGTTGATGGTTATCTGATGCTTTTGATGCATGCTTTCACCATGTTTTTTCAGGTCCGTGAACCAATGCCTGCTGTATTTTACTTCCTTGTAGATGTATCATTGAATGCAGTACAAACTGGTGCAACTGCAGCAGCATGCATTGCAATCCGACAAGCAATTGCCGATCTTCCTGTAAGTTCTGTTTCCGAGAGACCATGACCATTTGATCGTTTTCTTTTATTTATAGTGTGGGATTTAAACCAAGTGTTCAGATCTAGAGCTCTATACTAGAAATGTTTAGGTTAGAGCTATCTCATCCACTTCTTATGGGTCTGGTTTCTGTTATAAGCTGAGCTGTAAGCATCCACTGAAGCAACGCTAGTTCAGATTTGACTTTCTTGAGTTGTTATTTCGGTCTTTTATCATGCCCCGTTTATTTTGGAAATTATCCTTTATAAGAAATGATCTTTGTGTTCTTTTCTCCTGTTGTTGATTACATTGATATGACTTTGGAAAGAGGATTTCTGTCTAAACTTTGCAGCATTCGTAGTTTATATTATCCACGAATTGAATAGCATGGTTGATCTGCGTTATTTCCAGGAAGGTCCTCGGACATTTGTGGGGATTGCAACATTTGACTCAACTATTCACTTTTACAATTTGAGAAGAGCATCACAGCAGGTACCTCTTCAGTTTCAGTTTCTTTCCTTGTTAAAGAATCTTGCTTCTTAACATTCAATTAAGTGTATCATGGTTGTGATGATATATCTCCTTTGTCAGCCTATTATGCTCATTGTTCCTGATGTTCAAGATGTTTACACTCCCCTACAAACAGATCTCGTTGTACAACTCACCGAGGTTGGTCTTGCAATGCTTTGGATTTAGAATAACTTTATATTTGCTTTGTTGTGTCTGATTTATTTGAAAAAAGTTTCCATTTTAATTCTTTGGGGCAATTTAAGAAACTTTTTTGCGTGGATTTAGTGCCGTGAACATCTGGAGCAACTTCTGAAGAGCATTCCAGACATGTTTCAGAGCAACAGAGTTGCTGAATCAGCCTTCGGTGCTGCTATTAAGGTCTATTATCCATATTTGATGTTTAATTTCTATTGTAATAGCAGCAACTTGCTCTCTCTCTCTCTCTTTGTTTTTCCTTTTTAGACATGGGTGCAGGGATACTTACACATTTTAGTTAGAGGACCCATTAACCCAATGTATGCATTTTGGTCATTTTACCATGTCCTTTGGTTCTGACTGTAGAACATTCAGCTTTTATATGACTGTGGGCAAAAGTTTTCTGGATTAGGATTTACTGTCATCTTGTGATGATTGCAGGGTGCATTTTTGGCTTTGAAGCCAACAGGAGGAAAGTTGCTTGCATTTCAGTCAGGTAATCCACTTTAAGGCATCTGCAATTGTTTTCAATTTATGATTGCCTTCAAACCATATTCTTTGGTTCAATTTTCTTTTTACCTTACATATCAAGGGCTTTAGGGCTCAGTGCATGGTCCCTATTTGTAATAGTTTTGCATTACCGCAGTCTTGCCATCTCTGGGTATTGGAGCTCTGTCTGCAAGAGAAGCTGAAGGAAGAGCAAATGTGTTAGTCAGTGAGAAGGTTGTTTAATACTTTCTTTGGGTGATTTTATATGTTTTAAGATTCTGAAAAAAATTAAAGGAAAGTTTCTCAATTCTCAGAAATTTTTATCAAACAATATGTGGGGATAAAACATAGAAATGCCTTCCATACTTGAATTGGGGCTTAATCTGGGCCATATGATTGAATATCTATGCTAAAAACTTTGATTTCAAAGTTATTCATATCTGAAAAGAGTTTCATTGTTTACTAATAGGAACATTCTTTACACATCTGGTTTATGCTATGTACCTACTTCAGTGTTTCAACTCACTATATCGAACTTTATTTCTAGGACTGGCATAAGAAAACCCGCAATTGGTAAAATAATCTGGATAAGGACATGTTTCCTTCTCTGGGTAAATCAAAGATAAAATCTTTTAGAGAGTTTTTTATTTTTTTTTCCAGAAAATATTCGCATCAGAGAGTGTGTAGGAAGAGTTACACATAAGATGTTTCTGACTGGGTGAGGTTCCTTTTCAAATTTGTATTTTGAGAGGAAAGAGTAGACCATAGAGAGAGAGAGACATTGAATTGGATTAGATGTTATGCTACCCTAGATCCTTTCTCTTTAAGGTTTCCCATTATAAGTACCCTGCCTTATAATCTCTTTTGGTCCTATTCTAGTTGAATGTCCTTGTACTATGGCTTAATAATGTAGCTTAGACTGTTTGTGGATGGGACTTTGTTATTGATTATCAATAATATGCTGTGATTAAAACAATTGTTGGTATTCCTCTTCTCTTCCTGAATATCATCAGTGGTACTTTGTGATTATAGGAGGCCCATAAATTGCTTCAACCTGCAGACAAGACTTTCAAGACGATGGCTATAGAATTTGCAGAACATCAGGTGCGATCTAGGATGAAATTGTGTTTGCTTCTTGTTCACTAGTCTCCCTTTGATTGTTACATATAAAAGGGGAAGATTTTATTTATTTTGGCTCTTTTATAGGTCTGCGTGGATATCTTCATTACTGCACAATCTTATGTTGATATAGCTTCCATATCTGTTGTTCCTATAACAACTGGGGGACAGGTATTCAAGGCTCTAGCTCCTTTCTCATTTTTTTTCTGGATTTATTGCAAGAAGAGATATCTCTTGTATGGCTGCTGGCAATTTGTTAACTGATATAATATTGGTCAATCTGTGATATTTCTTTGGAAGCAGTTATTTCCTTACTCCCCTGAATGCTGCTGTTTATTATTTCTCTTTATGTTATCTTGGAAGGAAGATTAATCACGTGCATGGCATTTTCCACATTTTGAGGCCTTGAGAAAGCAATAATTGGGCTTTCCTTTTCTTTCTTGAATTGATGGACACAAGGTTCTGCAAGGGCAGCAAAATTATTGGTGATATGGAGGATTGCATTCATGAATCTATAGGCCGAAAGCAAGCTGTTGGGCACATTTTGGTGCATGTGATAAAATCAGAAATGCCACTTTGTTGACATATATGATTCTGTATTCTCTATCTTCACAATTTCTTTATATATCATGTGCTCTTGTTATGGTGCATATGTAAGTTAGATATGTCTAATGATGATGATTAAATGGTAATTGATCACAGAAGAAGTAAGTAGGTCGGAAGTTTTAAGAAAGATATGGAAATTAATTTTTTGTAAATAAATCAACTTACTTTTCATGCACCTAGTGATTTAGTTCATATAAATTTCAGGTGAGGAAAACGGACGACTTTCTTGTTGGTTATAAGATCTGTCTCTACGGCTGGTTTTGGTGTGGGCTTGAAAGTCATAATACTTCCTGTTTTACTTTAGTCAGCTGCTCTATCCATTTTGTGTTTGATTTTGCTATTTGGTAGAACTAAATAGCACTTTTAATTCCTTGGATTAGTGGCACCAAATCTTGATTAGTATAACTAAATCATGGTGGATTGTCTGTCAAATTACTCGTGGCAGGGCTCCTGCATGTATAACTCATCACATAAGAATATGTGATTTCTAACGTTTGCCCTATGTTCTCCTTTGCTCGACTATGTAGTTTACAGATGCTTGTTTTTGTTGCAGGTCTATTGTTACTACCCCTTCTCATCTATTTCTGACTCTGCCAAGCTTTACAATGATCTTAGATGGAATGTTACGAGGCCCCAAGGTTTTGAAGCAGTAATGAGAGTAAGATGCAGCCAGGTAATTTACAGTTCAAATCCAGATGACAAACTTCCCCTCTCAAGTTAATCTTTATGCTCTTTGATTAGTTTCTTTTCCAACCATGATAACGTTTTCTGTAGGGTTTGCAAGTTCAGGACTACTTTGGCAACTTCTGCAAGCGCATCCCTACAGATGTGGATCTGCCTGGGGTCAGTGTATTTTGATTATGAATAAAATTTAGACATTTCCTCATCCAATTTTGAGTTGAATATTGGGTGTATTGGTTATTTCAAATGAGTTGCAAGAAGCAGGAAAATATTATATCTGATTAGGCTGACACACTGTTAACGTAGTTGAAAGTTGTTACCTATGGCAGTAAATGGCTGCTTCCGGATGAATTAGCCCTTTTGATAATTGAGCCCTTCCCTTCAGATTATTGATTAATTACCTGTATTATGCTTCGATTGCTGTTAATATATGGTACAGACCCCTCTAGATGTTTCTCAACAATGACCTATTATAAAAAATAATACTCTACTCATGCATCTAAAGCATTTTACTTTAGCTGTTGGGTGACATATTTGTCAGTTTCGCTATCCACCTCGGAGCTCTTAGATTAACTCAATAGCCCAAGAATATCTTTGCATGTGAGGGCAAGTCTTGAGTTCACTTATGCAGGACACGCCCTGGAGAAGAGCTATTTATTGTCAGTGAATTGGAGATGGGTCACCATCTTGCCCTCAAATGGGAGCCAGGCTTTGGCTTGTCAATGAGTCCATTGGATACCTTTGAGTTTGATTTAATGTTTTAGATTATATTGTATGATTCAGAATTTAATGGGCTTATTTTGGAAATTTATCTTGTTGCATTGTATCAAGAGACCAATAGGAGGCAACTTATTAGAAAATGTTAACACCACCTTTTTTTTGAGAATAAAATGTTAACACCACCTTGTCATTTATGATTGGATGATTGGGCATGTCATTGTTTTAGTCACTGCATTTTCAAGTTGTTCTTGATTTTTGTCTTCTCTAGTTGTTCTATGGTTAGTAATTTTGGGTAGGCAAAGTGGAGATGTGCTTTCGGAGTTTTATGTGATCGCTGCATTACCAAAGAAACTGAAGGGAAGTTTTATGGAACAGCTGTAAGACTAGCCATGAGTGTAGCTGAGATGATGATGTTGAGATGGATGAGTGGCAAGTCAATTAAATAAATGATATAATTCAGAGTGAATACTCCGAGGGAACTTAGGGGGGAGCTCCAATAGGCAATAAGATGAGGGGAAAATAGGCTTAGATGGAGTGTCCGTGTGCAACATCGACCTAGAACAACACCAGTTAGGAGGGGCGATTTGGTTCATGTGGGAGGTTCTAAAAGGGCAAAGGGAATACCCAAAAAGATGTGGATGGAAGTTGTGACTTGTGAGAAGAGATATGGTTATTTATAGTTTGATTGAAAGTATGGCCCTTGTTAGAGCGGAATGGCAGAACAGATTCGTGTGGCTGACCCCAAATAGATGGGGATAAGGCTCGGATGATGATGATGATGGTGAATTTTCGTTTGTAACTTGAAAGAATATAATAGAATAAATTTTGATTGATCTGTCCTATGTCTCTCTATCCAAGCATCTGTTGATGCATTTTTTGCATTTCTAAGTGAAGAAGTTGTTGCTTGTACTGCAGATTGATTGTGACAAAACTATCATGGTCACATTTAAACATGATGATAAGTTTCAAGAAGGTTCTGAATGTTCTTTCCAGGTAACTCTCTATGAACAAACAAGAAGATTGTACATTAGTTGTAAGCGCTACAATTCTCAATGTCACCTCAAAATCATAATTTATGTCCTACAAAGTATCTCAATGTCATAGTTATGACATAGTGTTTTCCGGTTTTATTTGTTCTTTGTTTCATGATTTTGATCTTTTTGTATTTTTTTGCTTGCCAGTCTGCCCTTCTTTATACAACAGTATATGGGCAAAGAAGAATACGTATTTCAACTTTGTCACTTCCATGCACAAGCGTGCTCAGCAATCTATTCCGTGCAGCTGATTTGGATGCTCAGTTTACATGTTTCTTGAAGCAAGGTAAGTAGGTGGTTTGCCATATCCTTGCTGTAATAACCACTTTTTCTCTTAGTTCTCCTTTTCCATGTTTAGCTGTTGTTATCTTACTGATGGTCATCTGTCATTGCTGTTCGCTTTTGCACCCGATTATTAGCTGTTCCTCTTACATTATTTGTCTAAGAGAATTATAAAAATTAACACCATCTTGTTTCTTTTTTGCCCGTGCAGCTGCGAATGATATTCCCACTAATCCCCTTTTCCAAGTCAGAGACCAAATTACAAACCTCTCAATAAACATTTTATTCAATTACCGTAAGTTTTGTGCCACGGTATCATCATCTGCACAACTAATTCTTCCTGAGGCACTAAAGCTCCTGCCTCTATATACTCTTGGTATGTCCTTGTCTCATTATTCTAGTTGGGATTTGGTTCTTTGTGAATCTATACTCTTGACTTCTGATTTATACGTGAAACATACTCCATGTACTTAAAAAGAGTACTCCTTGTATTTGTTAGCAGCCTTTCAATGTTAGATATATGTTCCGAAAATCATCTTATTATGAAAAAGATGTTTATTTGTGTATCTTCTTCTCTTGCAGCTTTGTTAAAGAGTACTGGACTACAAGGTGATGCACGCATAGATGATCGGTCATATTGGGTCAATCGTGCTACCTCTCTAGCTCCCGCTTTGGCAGTTCCGTTGATTTATCCCAGGATGTTGGCTATCCATAATCTTATTTCAAAGGTAGAAAAGTGAACGAGAAGATAACACTTTATTTTGTTTTCTATCCCATTCCAATGTGGCTGACAAGAGTGTTAATGCTGGGCTCTTAGGAGGAGAAGGAGAATGAGGACGTCCTTGTCAACCTTACATTGCCTCCATCTAGTGAGCATATCACTGATGATGGAGTCTTTCTCCTTGAAAATGGGGAAGAATGTTTATTTTATGTTGGGAATATGGTGAATCCTGATATTGTACGCCAATTATTTGGGGTTGCCTCTGTTGATGACATTCCTTCTCAGGTGTTTCTTTGCTCTGATTCTTTTCATTCCTCCAAATGTTCTTCCAAACTAAATGACCACTATCCTAATAATGAGGCATTCTTTACACGTTTTGAAACAGTTAATCTAATGTGGCATTACTAAGAGGCGCAAATCTGCATTTTCTTGCTCTTCTTGATTATCTTTCATCCATTCTACATTCTCACCTACTTATTACACTACATTGGCCAATATGCTACCTTTTTGTAGCAACAAACCATTTTTCTGATTGAGATGCTTGATTGCTTTTGTCACTTATTTTTGTTGGGTGTTTTCAGTTTCTGTTGCAGCAACTCGATAACGAATTATCAAAGAAGCTGAATAATATAGTGAATGAGATCAGACGCGAAAGATGTTCCTATCTCCGGTATGGCCATTTCTTAGCTGTTTTCAATTGTGTGTTTCAGATGGAAGAAGTTGGTCTGTATGTTATATCTTATGAGGTTGCTTCTTTTGCAGCATGAAAGTTTGCAGAAAAGGAGAGCCTTCAGGTAAATTACTAAGTTCTACATGCGCTCGACCTTTATAAACCATGCTGGAGGAAAAAAAAATGAAACAAATTCTGTGAATGCCCTGTTTGCCATATCCTGTTAGAAATATTAGATCCCATTGTCTAATTTTTCATGTGGGGTTTGTGCTCCTGTTCTGGCTTCTATCAAGTAGTTTTTACGAATTCCATTCTTTTGTGGCTATCCTCCAAAACTTTGGGGCATGTGAATATTTTTGGGAAAATATCTCCATACCCCCCCATTTTTAAGTTTTATATCTCAATAGACCCAAGGTTTCAAAACATATCTTGGGTCATAAGAATTCTAAGTTTTATATCTTTTAACCCCCCTAAGCAAACTTTATCCCCTTTAAGCCTATTTTTTTGCCCCAAACAAATATAAGAAAGACATACTTTCTAAACACCATCATTTCTCTCTGGTCATGTAATTTTCCTCTAAATCTCTCTCTCTACCTATTTTCTCACTCTCTCTCCCCTCCCCCATCTCTCACTCTCTCTCCCCTCTCCCGTCTCACTCTCTCTCTCCCCCTTAGAGAGATAAAAGAGGGTGAATGTTAGATAGAAATTTGGGAGGAATATATCACGTAAAGAAAGGAAGGGTTTAGAATGAGTATGTCTTTTTTATATTTGTTAGGGCTAAAAAAATAGTTAAAAGTGGGTAAAGTTAGTCAAGGGGTTAGGAGATATGTTCTGAATCTTTGGGCCTATTGAGATATGAAAACCAAAAATAGGGGGTACGAGGATATTTTCCCAATATTTTTTTTTGAGGGGGTAGTATACTTAATGGAGAAAACCAGTACTATAGTGGTCCAGAAGGTCTACCACTGTTTAGAATTGGGTCTCTAGTGGTGCAGAGAGAATGGGAACTACCATTTGGATCATGTCATAGTCCTTTGGGACTCACTCCCCCATTCATCATCCTTCAATTGATGGGACAATTGAAGATTTTTTTACCGTAGATTTTTTTAGCTGACATGGATTAGAATATACTTAAT